AGCAACACACTCATGAGCTCATCTCTCTGTCACTATCAGCAGGCTCTTTGTCAGTCCATGAACCGATTGGCTCCTTTTGCTGCTTCTCACTCTCCCAGTCTAAGCCCTGCTGGACAAGACACTGATACCAGGTCATATTCAGGTACTTACCACGCTTGCCTTTAGAGAATACATGTAATAATTAATTAATGGATATAGAGTTTGATCAGTGCTCAGCTTGTATATCTGCCCGGAATTCAGGATTAGATAATAAATGTGTTACATTGTTTCACTCATCTGTTACATTTATAGGTAGGGATGCACCGATAAAGATACTAGTATTGGTATCGGTGCCGATGCCATGTAAATGCTCCGATGCCTAGCCCAATACCTGAGGTTCCGGTATCAGGAAGCTAGGCGGTGCGTCATTACAAGCTGTCCGGCTTCCCAAGTGGCTGGGCAGCCGGCCCCATGCTCCCTCATGACCTGGTCAAGAGGGAGCATGGAGCCTACTCTCAGGCTAATCAGGAAGCCGGGCAGCGTGTAATGACATGCCGTCTAGCTTCCAGATTGGTCGGGAAGCCAGCCAATCAGGAAGTTGGACGGAGAGTCATTACCCGCTCCCCGGCTTTCTGATTGGCCAGAAAGCCGGCTTCATGCACCCTCATGACCTGTTGACGAGGGAGCATGGAGCCGGCATCCCGGCTAGTCAGGAAGCCGGGAAACGTGTCATTGCACAGCGGTCAGCTTCCTGATTGGCCAGAAAGCCGCCTCCATGATCCCTCATCACTTGGTTATGAGGGTGCAAGGTTAACGGCTTCCGTGCTAATCGAGAAGCCAGGTGGTGAGTAGACTTGTGCGCCGTCAAAAAATTTGTTTCGTTTCGTAATATCCGTTATTTCGTAATTCGTATCTGAAATTCAATTCGGATTCGTACGAAATACGGATTTTCGTTAGTTTCGGCAAATTTTCATAACTTTACGAACATTCGTCATGATGAAGTTAAAAAGCAAAAATACCTTTTTTAATATTGGAGTCGATGTGGTAGTTGTTTTTTTATCCGAAATACGAATTCCATTAACGGATTCCGTATACGAATTTCGTATTTCGGCCCTAAAAAAAACTACCATCAACTCCAATATAAATGTACTTTGCTTTTTACCTTCAATATAACGAATGTCCGTAACGGAACGAAAATACGTCAGCGGAATTTCGTATTTCCTGCCTGTGTATTGTAATGCAACTCTCAGCAGCAGCGGATCCTTTTTTCGGATTTTAAAAAAAATCTTGTCATGTCGTTCAACCTCATTTACAGGGGTAATATTAGTTCCCGTTTCAAAGAAATTCGGATCTGAAATTCGTTAACGGAATTTCGTATTTCGGATATAATTCGGAAACTGCAATTCGGATTTCGGATGCTTCCGAGTCTACGAATTTCAGGAAAATTCGTACGAATTTCGACCCGTAACGCAACGAATCGCACATGTCTAGTGGTGAGTCTTTACACTCCACCTGGCTCCGTTGGCGGGTAGGGGGGCAAATTGAGGAACCTGGCCTTGGGGCAGCACACTGTCAGAGCCGGCTTCTTCATTGGCCGAGGTGCGAGGCGAATTGAGGAACCTGGCCTTGGGGCAGCAGAGAAAGTAAATCCGGCCCTGTCTGCATACATAGCCGCTCCAGGTCTGTGACTCCGAAAGCACTGGAGCCTTTGGATCAGCATGACAACAGGCCAACAGCATATCAAGCGGGGGTACTAATGGCAGCCGCCATCCTTCCTCCACATTGCTCCGCGGGTTCTCCGCTGTTACAATCTGGAGCAATACTTCTGCTTTCTCCTTCTTCTGGGAGTTTTGCTCCTGGTCTGCCAGCGGACGGCGGCGGCGGATTAATGGCTTCATCCACAAAAAAACATACGGCGCAATAATTCACACTGCGAGCCGGTCTGCAAGAACAGAGTTTATTAAAGATATATATCTCAAATCTCAGCTTTATGTACAGAAAGGATAATAAATCTCTGCAGGTAAACCACGCTTTGTAAATTAATTCAGCACAAAAAGATCTACACGTTACATGCGTTGCGGTGGCATTCTTTCTGAATGGCACCCCTATGCACTAAGGCAAAGCACCCACTGGTCGTATGTTGCATTGGGTTGCATTGGGACAAGTGTGATTTTTGGCACATTTTTCTATGGCCTACCTTAACGCAATACACATTAACCTGGATGTGAACGCACATGCATCAATGACCCACAAAAAAATGTCAGGGTCCGTTCACACTGCGTCATTGCGGCACGCCGCGGGTTGCTGAATGCTTAACCACAGCTCATGCCAATCCTCATTAAATGCGGTGGTGCAATGCAGTGCCTTTCATTGTGAATGCATTTAAGGTACGGCACACCAAATGCACCTTGCAACGGACAAGCGTTGCACCATGCAGCAATGCACTAACGCGCATTGTTGTGCACTGCCATAAAATAACGCATGCATCTTTTTAAAATGGCGACGAACGTTGGTTGCAAGGTGCGTAGAGGTACAATACAACTCCTGCAATACCACAACGCCATAGTGTGAACGAGCCTTTAGTAGGCCCCCAGTATGTCTGCCTACCACATGCCCCCAGCACTAAATGAGCATTACAGCCTTATAACATGGGGGAGGGGCTAACAAAAGGGGATTTAACATGTTAAAGCTTTTATAAAGTTTACTGATTGGCTTCCCATATACTTTAATTGTACAAATTTTTTAAATGTAATTTTAGTAGTGATTCTTTGCAGTACATTAAGCGGCTCAGCCGCCGAGACAGACGAACGTAGGGAACGTCTGAAGGAAACATCTGGGACCCATCCGCAGTGGTCACATTCCAGCGCTTCCCGGGCTGAAAGGAATGAGACCCGGGCTGAGAGGGGTGAGGCCTGGGATGTCATGATTAGTGATAAGACCTGGGGTGTCATGATTAGGGATGAGACCCGGGCTGAGAGGGGTGAGAGGGATGAGACCCAGGCTGAGAGGGGTGAGGCCCGGGCTGAGAGGGATGAGACCCAGGCTGAGAGGGATGAGACCCAGGCTGAGAGGGGTGAGACCCGGGCTGAAAGGAATGAGACTCAGGCTGAGAGGGGTGAGGCCTGGGATGTCATGATTAGTGATAAGACCTGGGGTGTCATGATTAGGGATGAGACCCGGGCTGAGAGGGGTGAGAGGGATGAGACCCAGGCTGAGAGGGGTGAGGCCCGGGCTGAGAGGGATGAGACCCAGGCTGAGAGGGATGAGACCCAGGCTGAGAGGGGTGAGGCCCGGGCTGAGAGGGATGAGACCCAGGCTGAGAGGGATGAGACCCAGGCTGAGAGGGGTGAGACACGGGCTGAGAGGGGTGAGACCTGGGATGTCATGATTAGTGATGAGACTCGGGCTGAAAGGAATGAGACTCGGGCTGAAAGGAATGAGACTCGGGCTGAGAGGGATGAGACCCGGGCTGAGAGGGGTGAGGCCTGGGATGTCATGATTAGTGATGAGACTCGGGCTGAGAGGGGTGAGACCCAGGTTTAGAGGATGAGACCCGGGCAGAGGAGATGAGACTCGGGCTGAGAGGGCTGGGACTTGGGATAAGAGGCCTGGGCTGAGAGGGATGAGACCCAGGCTGAGAGGGGCGAGACCCAGGCTGAAAGGAATGAGACTCAGGCTGAGAGGGATGAGACCCAGGCTGAGAGGGGCGAGACCCAGGCTGAAAGGAATGAGACTCAGGCTGAGAGGGATGAGACCCAGGCTGAGAGGGGCGAGACCCAGGCTGAAAGGAATGAGACTCAGGCTGAGAGGGATGAGACCCAGGCTGAGAGGGGCGAGACCCAGGCTGAAAGGAATGAGACTCAGGCTGAGAGGGATGAGACCCAGGCTGAGAGGGGCGAGACCCAGGCTGAAAGGAATGAGACTCAGGCTGAGAGGGATGAGACCCAGGCTGAGAGGGGCGAGACCCAGGCTGAAAGGAATGAGACTCAGGCTGAGAGGGATGAGACCCAGGCTGAGAGGGGCGAGACCCAGGCTGAAAGGAATGAGACTCAGGCTGAGAGGGATGAGACCCAGGCTGAGAGGGGCGAGACCCAGGCTGAAAGGAATGAGACTCAGGCTGAGAGGGATGAGACCCAGGCTGAGAGGGGCGAGACCCAGGCTGAAAGGAATGAGACTCAGGCTGAGAGGGATGAGACCCAGGCTGAGAGGGGTGAGACCCAGGCTGAAAGGAATGAGACTCAGGCTGAGAGGGATGAGACCCGGGCTGAGAGGGGTGAGGCCTGGGATGTCATGATTAGTGATGAGACTCGGGCTGAGACCCAGGTTTAGAGGATGAGACCCGGGCTGAGGAGATGAGACTCGGGCTGAGAGGGCTGGGACTTGGGATAAGAGGCCTGGGCTGAGAGGGATGAAACCTGGGATGTAGGAATGAGACCCGGGCTGAGAGGGGTGAGACCCGGGCTGAGAGGGGTGAGATCCGGGCTGAGAGGGGTGAGACCCGGGCTGAGAGGGGTGAGACCCGGGCTGAGAGGGGTGAGACCCGGGCTGAGAGGGGTGAGACCCGGGCTGAGAGGGGTGAGACCCGGGCTGAGAGGGGTGAGACCCGGGCTGAGAGGGGTGAGACCCGGGCTGAGAGGGGTGAGACCCGGGCTGAGAGGGGTGAGACCCGGGCTGAGAGGGGTGAGACCCGGGCTGAGAGGGGTGAGACCCGGGCTGAGAGGGGTGAGACCCGGGCTGAGAGGGGTGAGACCCGGGCTGAGAGGGGTGAGACCCGGGCTGAGAGGGGTGAGACCCGGGCTGAGAGGGGTGAGACCCGGGCTGAGAGGGGTGAGACCCGGGCTGAGAGGGGTGAGACCCGGGCTGAGAGGGGTGAGACCCGGGCTGAGAGGGGTGAGACCCGGGCTGAGAGGGGTGAGACCCGGGCTGAGAGGGGTGAGACCCGGGCTGAGAGGGGTGAGACCCGGGCTGAGAGGGGTGAGACCCGGGCTGAGAGGGGTGAGACCCGGGCTGAGAGGGGTGAGACCCGGGCTGAGAGGGGTGAGACCCGGGCTGAGAGGGGTGAGACCCGGGCTGAGAGGGGTGAGACCCGGGCTGAGAGGGGTGAGACCCGGGCTGAGAGGGGTGAGACCCGGGCTGAGAGGGGTGAGACCCGGGCTGAGAGGGGTGAGACCCGGGCTGAGAGGGGTGAGACCCGGGCTGAGAGGGGTGAGACCCGGGCTGAGAGGGGTGAGACCCGGGCTGAGAGGGGTGAGACCCGGGCTGAGAGGGGTGAGACACGGGCTGAGAGGGGTGAGACACGGGCTGAGAGGGGTGAGACACGGGCTGAGAGGGGTGAGACACGGGCTGAGAGGGGTGAGACACGGGCTGAGAGGGGTGAGACACGGGCTGAGAGGGGTGAGACACGGGCTGAGAGGGGTGAGACCCGGACTGTCATGATTAGGGATGAGCAAAAATGGCAGATTTTGCATCAACAATTCAGCAAAATGCATTGGAGGCAATTCAAAGGCAAAATGAATGATGATTAAGGTGGTTTGATGTGATTAGAGATGATTAGGTGCCAATAAAAAGAAAAATCAGCAAATGGGAAATCAATAATTTTACCGCAAATTCAACAAAACCAGCTGCTCATCCCTACCCATGCTGACTCTTTGATGATACTACTTCTGGAGTGAATTCATATTATATATGCTACAGGTCAGCAGCTTGGAATGTATTAGTTAGTCCACACACATGTGATGTTTTAGTTATAGGTTGAGCCTGCTGGGCCACGTCAGCCCCTGGCTTCTATTATGTTTTGGATGCTCCAACAGTCAGATCTCTCCGCCATAAATCCACCTGAGAGTATCGAGTTATCCCTGTTCACTTTGTGTGCTCCCGTTCCTCTTTTTACATTCTACAAAATATATTAAAAATCCTGCAGAGATGGTGGGAACCCTTCATAATGGGCACAGCAGGTGTAGCACAGCACAGGGATGGTGGGAACCCCTCATAATGGGCACAGCAGGTGTACAGACCCGGGAACTCAGCTCAGGGATGGTGGGATATCTCATAATGGGCACAGCGGGTGTACAGACTCAGGAACTCAGCACAGGGATGGTGGGAACCCCTCATAATGGGCACAGCAGGTGTACAGACCCAGGAACTCAGCTCAGGGCTATCTCATAATGGGCACAGCGGGTGTACAGACTCGGGAACTCAGCACAGGGATGGTGGGAGCCCCTCATAATGGGCACTGCAGGTATACAGACCTGGGAACTCAGCTCAGGGATGGTGGGATGCCTCATAATGGGCACAGCAGGTATACAGACCCGGGAACTCAGCTCAGGGATGGTGGGATGCCTCATAATGGGCACAGCGGGTGTACAGACCCGGGAACATAGCACATGGATGGTGGGAACCCTTCATAATGGGTATTATAGCTGTGCAGACCCGAGAACTCAGCACAGGGATGGTGGGATACCTCATAATGGGCACAGCAGGTGTAGCACAGCACAGGGATGGTGGGGCCCCTCATAATGGGCATGATCGTTGTGCAGACCCGGGAACTCACAGGGATTTAACCATCAGAGTCCCTGAGAGACAGAAGAGACTGTCAGGTGGATTACGTCTCCAGCATCCAACAAGTACTGAAATATTCCATATGGCTAAAAGTATGTGGACACCAAAATGACTGAGTTCAGGAGTACAAAGCCAGGAGTACAAAGTCAGCTCCATAAAGACAAGGTGCGATGTGAAGGAACTGGTGTGTCCTGCACAGAGCTCTGACCTCAACCCTACTGAACACCATTGGGATTAGCTGGAATGGCCAATGGTGAGTCAGGTCTTCTCATCCAACATATCAGTACTCGACCTCACCAATGGGCACAAATTCCCATAGCCTTCCTAGAAGAGTGGAGGATATTATAGCCAACACAGGGGAGAAGGGACAACCCCATATCGATGCCCATGGTTTTGGAATGGGATGAAGCTCATACAGGTGTGATGATCAAACGTTTGCTCCCATAGTATATCATTTTTGGCAGACCTAAATCTTTTAAACTCTCTTGACTGGTAAACATAAATTGACATCATTCTTTAATGACATTAATGTATATCGTCAGATATCTACAAACGAGTTCCCACGTCTGCTCAGGAAATGAGAAGTCTGGCATTTGTATAACTTGGCAGGGCAGCCAGTGGTATGTCGGCTGCCATGTTAGGCTAATGGAGGCCTACAAGTGACAGGTGGCAATATCCTTTGATGGCGCTACTGGGCCAGACATCAGCTGTGTGCGGGGAAATGTCACCACCAACAACTCTGCTGGATTCGGAATGCTCTCAGCTTCGATAAGATTCTGGGGCGTTTGCATATTTATACGCGAGTGTTATTAAAGACTTCACAATGGGCAGTTCAAGTTTAATGGCCCCTGTAATTTATGTGCAACAATAACGGAGGAGCCGAACGCCACCTGAGTCCAGCTATGAATCCATTATAGTGGATCTAGCATCAACCACATTTTATGTGCGGCACTTCCAGGTATTATTTTACCTCTCCCAGAGATCACAATCCTCCACCACCCCCCAAGAAAAAACAAATTAATTTTTTTTTTTATAAAGCAGCTTTATACAAGGGGAAAAAAACAAAAAACCTCTCCTCTTTCATGTCCCGAGCTCCACATTATCTCCCCCTTCATGTCCCCAGCTTTCCGCTCCCGGACCCCATGTCGCCTTCCTTCATACTTCCAGCTCCCTGTCTCCCCCTTCGTGCCCGCAGCAGCTCTATTCGGCACTGGGCAGCAGTTCTGTGTGATGAGGGGGCGGGGATTACACCGCTCCCACTCATTGGCTGCTGCCCGGCTGCATGATACTTCACGCTGCGCCCGGAACCAGGTGAGGGGAGCAGCGTGAAGCATGTAGGGCCCAGGACAGGAGGAAGAGGTCGCGGGAATGACATTAGCGGTTAACGGGATGATAAATATCCTGGTAATCAGCGGTTACCAGGGGCCCCTTCTTCCTGTCCTGGGCCCCCTCCAAGTGGCGGAACTCCAGGGCCCGGTCGCGACCTCTGCGACCCTGGTAGTTCCGCCACTGGGTCCAGGGCCAGGTCGAGGCAAAGGCAGAAGAGGCACCATGCTGCGGTGAAAGCAGTGGGGCTGGGAGCCTCTATTGCCTTTGTATTGCACAGCCGCTTCCTGCACTGTGCCAGGACTGAGCCGTCAATCTGACAGCTCAGCCGTATAGATTACACTGGGAGATTGTGGCTCTCCCTGTGTAATCAGTAGCTCTGCTACGCTGTCAGTGTGACAGATTCCCGCTCTGTATCCGGAGCTCAGTGCTCTAGAGTTAAAGGAGAACTACGAGGTGAGTGATTTTCACTCAACCTCGTAGTTCGAGCCGACGTGTGACAATGAAACTGTCACACGTCGGTTGAATAGATCGGGAAGTGAGCGAACACATACCGTCGCTCACTCACTTCTCGATCATGTCCCTGCAGAGAGCTGTGACTGTCACTCACGGCTCCCTGAAGGGATTCCACCCCTCCCCGGTCCGATCCTCCAGCGCTGACTGGCGGAACGGACGGGGGAGGGGCGGGTACAGCTGGCTCTGCCTCTAGATAGGCAGAGCCAGCTGTCAATCACGCAGCTGGGTGGATCTCAACAGTAATGTCAGGATACAACCCGGCTGCGGCGGTCTCAGTATACTGCGAGCTGTAGCTCCCTATATACTGAGCTTTGGGTGACGGGAGGACGCTAGTATATGTCCTCCCTTGACCCTTAGGAGAACTATGGGGAAAAACACTTACCTCATAGTTCTCCTTTAAACAAAGCTCAGCACCCGGCTGTCACAGAGCTCAGATGATTACACAGGGAGATCATGTTCTCCCTGGAGAGCACGCTTTGGCATCCTAGCCTTGGGTGTCAGAGAACCTCGTTTGCCACCCCTCGAGAAGCTTATTTAATATTATGACAAATGGCAGCGGCTTCCCTTGCCTTTGGGGGTGGTGCACACTAATGGTGATTGGTGGCCTCTGCATCTGCCACTGGCCTGTGGTGGCCTCTACATCTGGCACTGGCCAGCATCCTGCCCAGCTCTCTAGCATCACTGGTTTCCAGGAGCTGGATGGGACACCAGCCAGAACGTCCCACTCAGCTCCTGGCAACCAGTGACATCACCAGAACACCAGCCAAGGCATCCCAGGTTGCTAAGAACTGGGTGGGGAGATTTGTAAGGGTCATGCACATCTCCTCGCCTGGCTCTTAGCAACCCGGGATGGTCTGGCCAGAAAGGGGGCGGCAGGCACAATGCAAACATTGTGCAGCAGAGTGACCATAGCGCTCTGCCTGCTGCCCCTCCACATAACCCAAAGAGTCAACCTGGGGCAACAGCTTCAGGCTGCCTCATTATAGGCACGGCCCTAACAAATGCGACAATAGAACTGGGAACACCTCAAGGTGGCCAGGAACACTGCAACACTCCCAGGTGGGTGGGATCAGTCCCTAGAACTGTGACCATTGAGGACATTTTCCAACCAGCTGCTCTGTGCAACCCCAATAGCAATTCCTCCCTTGTCATCTATGAACACAAACTGATCCTTGTTGCCATTGACGCATTGAGTGATTTCAAGGACAGCGGCAGATCCCTCACTTCTGTGAGTTAACGTCCAACATCATCAATAAAGGGTTCAAACCCCATTCTTTAAAGTGCAAAACCGCCGTGCCCATTGCACGGGCTTCCGCTACGCAAATCCGGAAACGTTGGTGGCAGCGGAAGTGAACTTTCAAATAATTTTAGATTTAATCATTTTAAGGGCTACAAGTCCCCGAGTCTCTCTTACATTCTTGTAGTGGCTACAGCGCCCGGAAACGACCGTCTCGCGTGAGATCTGCGTCCCTGCGCCGCGGCATTCAGTGCTGCCGGTGGCTGTCATTAACCTTGTCCCATAAATACTGCATACATATATACAAAGCGGGTGAAAGAAAAATGGCGACTGTGGAGGTGTGGCGACTGCATACGGAAAGGCGCTGCGTGCTGCGTTAGCGACGTGACTGAGCAATAGCAGGTGAATTTCTATGTGTCTTGTAGATGGTGGCATGCAATACGGATAATTGACAGCAGCTGCGATGGAGCAGGGATCATTTTTTTTTAATGATGCCACTGCCAAGGAATGCTTCTCTCATAGTATAGGCCTTTGGGAACCACCTTACATTCAATAGGCACCCGACCCCATGACATGGCAGCCTATATGTGGTCAATGCACTTAGTCAATTAAGAAGTCATATTGGCTCAATAGCCAAAGCGCTGAGACTGACCACATGATGTCATTTCATTGGGCACTTGTGAAAAGACTGGGGCCATATTGTCAGTTCCTGGGGGACTAGTGACATCATCAAGGCCATATTTCATCAATTCCCCAGTTGCCCCCGAAACCAATTTATCGCTCGCTGCTAACAAAGTGTTGACGTAGATAAGCCCAATCATAGTCACTTTACTAAAAAAAACACTGAATGTGATCTCATTACGTCAACCCTCTACGGGCTAATAACAAGACCGAAGCCATCTTGTTGCAAATCGATAGGAATGTGTTTTGTGACCATTTTGTCAATAGAGCACATAAATTGGTTTGAAACCCATGATCAGGGCCGGATTTCCCACAAGGCCCGGTCCCGGGGCAGCAGGGAGTAGAGGGGCAGCAGGGGTGTGGAATTCCAATCTCCCGATGCCCGGGACATGCAGTTCCGGGAGCCGGGTGGGTAGTTGTTTTCTACATGTAGCCCGGCTTTGGGCAAGCAGAGCTAAATGTGCAGCGGGGAATCTTGGCGATGTCGCCGAGCTCACTTGTATGCAGCCTGCAGGTCTGCTATTCTCCATGGGGGGTTGGTGGGTAGGGGGGGCACATTGAGGAACCTGGCCTTGAGGCAGCAGAGAGAGTAAATCCGGCCCTGCCTATGATGTCGCTGCTGCCTGAAATACAAGTCCGTCCCCCCATTAAAAAGGTTCCTCTACTTTTTTGCATTGCCACCATACATTTGAATGAATACATGCATTTTGTTAAACACCTTAGATCTTTTCATATAACCTGGCAATTCAAGCAAGTCTGAAAATATATCCTTTTCCCCCTTTCTCCCCTCTGTCCCCTGAGAGCTGTGCCAGGATTTCTTAAATGTCTATCAGATCAACTTTCCTGCTGGGTGGCTAATTAACACAGGAGAAGTTGGATTAAAAAAAAGTATCCCTGGAATCTTTTTAGATGTGCATGTCTCTAGCTTACAGTCTCCTGGTAGCATGCTACCAAGTCATATAACAAGCTTCCCTTCTGCATTTAACGTTTGTGGCTCGGAGCACCTGCTACAAACGCTTATCTCTCTTGAAATTCTTATAAAACATGATGGTTACGAGCTTTAGATACATCCAACACTTTTCAGAAAAAAGGACCCCCCCCCCCCCACTTTATCAGGCCGGTT